AAGTTTATAACATACCATCCATCTCTGTTGTGAGTTTATTTTAATTTTCTCTAAGAGTCTCATGAAAACCTTACCGAAATGTTTGTGTAAGTAGTCTCTGTTTGGTTCATCTAAAGCTTCGATATTAAAGTCAATGAGTCTATTGCCTGACTTCACATTTCTCTTCCTATTCTCTTCATCTTTCTTTAACCATCTCTCACCTTCTTTTGGTTTGTCGTCAATGGAACGAAGGACATCGTTAGCTTTGCGAACTAATTTTAAGTTAGTATGGTTATCTTGGGTACGGCGGCACTGCGTTCCACCTTACCCAAGATAACGGTTTGACACTTTACAAAACCGCTGACGTATATTTTACAACACAAACGACAACACTAACTTAACCTTAAATATTTACAAAACCGCCACCCACTTCACCTCACTAATGTTTTCACTAACGACTTCACTAATGAAAAAATAAACGTTCTCACTAACGTTCCCACTAATGTTCTCATTTACAAAAGTATTGCAGCGCTTCCCATTGCTGTGCTTCACACAATAGTTCATATTCTTCAGTATCGCTGCTGTCGCTCCAATCGTCAGAGTCAAAGTCACTGTCAAAATAAATGTTAGTAAGTTTTGACAAAGCTAATGAAACACGCTTACCGTTTGTATCTATTGCTTTTATATATCTCCCATTATGTTTGTTGTCATAAACGCTCAAACTAACTTTACCCTTTCTCCCTCGTATCTGATAGAATGTATTTTCACGAGGAACGAAGAACAAATTCTTGAACTCATGACGGTTGTAGTTTGTTATCTCAATAGTTTTCGTCATTTACATAAAAATAAACTTAAAAATAAACTTAAAAATAAATGATATCACTACCTTCACACGTATGAAAACATAGCACAAAAATAAATTTAGGTGAAGTGGTGAGATCTCACCTCTTTTTTCACCTCTTTTTTCACCCACTTGAATTCATTGCTTTATAACTCTCTTCCTTTCTCCAACTCTTCTAACTTCTTCCTAAGTTTAGCAATGTTGTCCTCATGAAGTTTAATCTTTCTCAAAATTCCTTCTTTATCTAATGGTTGCTTTATCTTTCTAAACTGAACTCTACCATCCTTCATAGTATGAATGTAAAAACCTTCTGGAATAGTTCCTGATTTAATGTATTCTACCAAAAACTTTTGTTTCATTGCTTCAGTGACTTTAGTCGTCATTTCAATCAAATAAAAATTTTAATATTAAATAAAAATAACGTTATTTTTTCAGTAAGGAAACGCAGGAGTTTTACGATTTATTTGAGGAGTAGGTTCTAGTTTAAATGTTGGAGTCGGTTTAGGAGTTGACTTTTGAACAGGAGTTTGTACTTCCATAGGTTCAGGAGTCATTGAAGGTTTTGCTTGTGAAGGTGTTGGAGTTTGTTTAACTTCAGCTACTTCAGTATTATTTACAACATTTGCTTTATTTCTTTTCAACATCATAACTGCTCCTGCTGTAGCTATCAAACCTAGTGGGAGACCATATCTTATATAAGGACTTGACCAAATGCTATTTTTGACAGGAGCTGGTGGAACACCTAACCTTGGTGAGACTGCTCTTTGCCATTGTGCAGCTCGTAAGAAATATTCAATAGGTGCTCCATAATCGTTTGGTAAAGTTTGTTTCATAGATGGTGAAGGTTCACGAGAGCTTGATGAAGAACTCATTTATAAGCTTTAAAAATAAACGTTCATCCTTTATTCCTCACTGTCGTCCGCGGCTAAGTTATAGTCATCTAATCTTATTATTGGGATGCCATTAGCACGCACCTGAATGGCAAAGCAACAATCCCTCATAAATCCAATAAGTGGCTTTGGTACATTTTCAGTTGCTAGTTCAATAGGTCCTTTAACAGACAATTTGTATGTTATTGGAGCTGTTGAAGTTTGACCTTGCTGGAAGCAAAAGTCCACTTCTGTTGGAAAACCACATAAGAAATGTGTGTTGTCATAGCTATCCCATTTATGTTCCACACTACCATCATCCACCAATGACCTCATAACATCTTCATTAAATCCTATCATATCATTGTTTGTATTGCAAGCGTTCGCAACCATTTCATAAAATACAGGTCCATATGATTTTTCAGGTTCTGCAGGCATATTTCCATAAGCTCCCATGGAAAGCTGAAGATATTTAAACTTAGGGTTCTCAAAATTAACATAATAGTTGTCTTTCTTTCTAAATAGTGCCCAAATACTTTTAACATTAATAGGCGTATAAGCTGCTGTAAATGTTGCACTTGAACTATCTGTATTCTTTGAGAATGAACCGTCCATAGGAATCCAATCCATAACTTTAACAGGAAAACATAAAGCCTCGTTTGTATAATGTTCTACAAGTTCTGTATAAATGTTAGGGTCTAAAGAGAATGACTTTGGATGAATAAAACATTCATTAAAATCCATCTTTGTTCGAAATAGTTGCTTGGTTACAGTTGTAATAGTAACTGTTCCACTAGCTTCTACTGCCTTCGTTATCATAGTGAATGGTTCATTCCATGGAACAAATTTATTTGTCGGTGGATTTGAATCTGAAGCAAATGCAACTTTAAGAGTTGGATTGAAAGCAATGATATCATTTACAGATATAGATGTGCATTGTAAGGCGTCGCTACTGAACTTTACTTTAAGCTGAATGTTTCCTGCAAAAGCTGGAATAAATCGAATAGCTTCTAATGGAAGGAATCTTCTAACAGGAATTCTTAAACGAAGCTTAAAATCAAATGATTTTCCTGCTGTAATTGGACCACTAACAATTTGTCCTGTTCTGTATGTTCCCGAATGACTCCATACATCTTCATGTCGAGTCTTTGAGAAAACATCTACTTTCTTTATTTGTTCGGCAGTTTGTGAGTTTGAAGTTATATATGCTTCTTCTCTTGCGTTGTCTTGAGAATATACGATACGACCATTTGCAAGGATTTGATATCCAGCAACTGCATAGAAAGCGTCATCGAAACCAATCCAAAATCCTGGTGGGTTTGTTTTATCGGAACCTGAACCAATTTCTTTATCTACAATAAATTGACCTTCCATTTTATATGTAATGAATGTATTGTAAAGGTCCAACATATTTTCACCAGGAGGTGAGAGATTGAATGTTACCCATGTGTTATCTTTAGCAGTTCCAGGTTGTGATGGAATCTTTGCGTCAGAATATTTTCTATTAGTGTCACCAATTTGAACTGCATTGTCTATGATATCGAAATATGAGCGAATCTGATGAATATGCTCTGCTGGAGTAAATTCGTTTAACTGTTCGTTCTGCATGTCTTTGATTCGGATAAAAATATCTCTTTACTTCATTATTCTCACTCTTCTTCTTGGCATTCGTGGTGGAAGTTGTTTCTTGACATTTTCAATGAACTGTACATTTTCTTTTGTCTCAACTTCTTTCACTGGTGGGTCAGGGTTCTTTGACTCGGTTTGTTTTTCAATGAAATTCACGAACTTTGCAATAAGCTCTTGGTTCGTTATTGAAAGTACATCTGGCTTCTTTTCTTCTTGTTCTTTTGGTGGCTCAGTTTGAACAGAATGTTTTATATGGGCTTCGTGGGCTTCGCCCTCGGTGCCATGCACCTTAATGTTGTCGCTCTCTGTATTCGCTAATGGAACCTTTCTTTTCCTAACATATATTTTACCATCTTTACTCTGACTTACATAATAGAAAGGATGTTGTATTCCTCTTGCGTCATTTAATATAATAGACTCTCGCTCTGATTTTGACAAGCTCATTTTACATCGGTTAAAGTTTTAATTTTGTTTTTTATCTGCAGTCAAATGACTCAGACAAGCCCCACGGACAAGACCCAAGGGGTCATAGATGTTGAAGCATTGAAGAAAGAAATTCGTGAGCAAATTTTATCCGAACTGAAGGAACAAAAACAAGAACAAAAGCCAGAGAGACCAAAGAGAAAACTTAGTGAAAAACAACTTGCTGCATTAGCTGCTGGAAGACAGAAGAACCCAAGACTACTGGCGAAAAAAGCTAGAGAAGAAGCTGAAGCAAAAGCTAAAGAAGCTGAAGCAAAGAAAGAGTAAATGGTTTATTTTTATCGGAACTAAATGTATAGACAAATACCTTTATCTGTTGCGTTCAGTAGTGAAAACCCTGACGTCAAAATAAAGGGGAACAGAGTAACGTTTAAGTTTCCAACAGACTGGATTGTGAACATAAATGAAGAGAAGTACATTGGCATAACATCTATGTATATAACACGTGCTTTCAGAAAGGTTGACTTTATACTTCAAGTCGAGATAGAAAATGACGAACAGTCTTTAAGCGCCCAAAACATTCACATATACAAATACTTTAAAGACGATACAACATTGCAACAATGTATGATTTCATTTAATGAAATGTCCGAGAAAAAGTTTAACATTGAAGTACAAACTTTACAGCCTTTACGTGAGTTTCTTGCACAACTGAAAGAAGAAGGTAGTCAGCCACAACTTATAGACTTTCATTATGAATTTAATGAAAATGAAGATGGAACTCATGACTGTCAGTTTGTTATATATTCACCATTCAATGAAGTAGCTAAAAAGAAAGAAAATCCATTACGTATAAGATTTCAAATCTCTGAACCAAGTGATGATTTCAAAAATGTTTTCAATTATGATGCAATGCTTCCGAGGAAAAATGATTTTTCCGAAATTAGATTTCCAGGTATTTGGGATAGAAAACAAGCAATATTATATTCAAACCTAAGTAAAGGAGTTGAAAATGAGTTCATTGGTCATACAAGAAATTCACCATTACCAAATCCTAAATATTACAAACTAACTGGTTTCAATCGTGAGTTTTGGATAGACATGTACTCAACTCATGACCATAAAGCACCAGTGTTCTTGCCTCCAGATAGAAAAGATTGTTTATACATTGAAGCTCAACTCTTAAACTCTACCATAGCAATATTATAAAATCTGAGCTAGTTTTATTTTTTCTGAAAATTTTTATTTGAGTGAAAGGCATGGAAGGTGAAGACGTTTGGGAAACACTTGTTGCTGACAACGACTATGAAATTAACACAGAATATCCACACAATATTAGGAAAAAATCTACAGGAAAAATTGTGAGTGAATGGATGAGCGATGGATATTATAGGTTATGTTTAAACGGTCAAAAATACTTCAAGCACAAACTTATAGCAGAACAATTCATACTTAACCCAGACAACTTACCTCAAGTAGACCATATAAATCATATACGAACAGACAATAGAATAGAAAATTTAAGATATGTAACATCACAACAAAACAATAAAAACAGATGTAAAGCAAATGGTATAAATTATAACTATGTAGATGAAATTGGTGAAAACTCCATTGAAGTTAAAACATATGGAAAACATGAGTTCGATGATTTATACTATGACCCAGAACAAGACCTCTTCTATTTCTTTAATGGAATTCGCTATAGAGAGCTTCATGTAATGGAAAACAATAAATGTGGAACTCTGTATGTAAATGCATGGACTGTAAAAGGAAAACTTACAAAAATTTCATACAGTGCATTCAAACGTCAATATAATCTTATATGACCTCACTGCTGACAAAAATAAATGACCTCATTATTTTTCTCATTCATGTTCTCAGAACTTAAGCTTTCTTATGAATGAAGTCTTAGTCTGAATAGAAAAGTTAAACTTTTCCTCAAATGCAAGTGTAGCAGACTTACATAAGTCAAATCCAATCTCTTGACCGTCATAAAGTGCTTTGTAAAGTTTCATTAAACTGAACTCAGAGTCTTTGTCATATGTTCCAACAGGTATGTGAATGTTCTTATCTTCATTGTAATAGCATTGTATAGCTTCAGGAAACATTTCATTTGCTGTTAAAGCAAGGACGTCTTGTTTGACACCTTTGCAACGTGCATGGAATGCAACTTCATTTAAATCGTTAGTGAGTAAGTCTATGTAAGTCTTCTTTCCACAAAATATTGACTTGTATGCTAAACTTTGTTTTCCAGGTGTTATTTCTGCGAAGTCAGAATGGAACTGACCTAATGTTTTACCAATAAGTTCTCTACCGTATCTCTTCTTAAACTCTGCTGCAAGCTTTGGTATGTCTTCATTGAAAATATGCATGCTATCACAGTCCTGGTAAAATATTTGAAGTCCCATATCTTCTGCAGTACAGAATACTTCGTTCATTATTCTCTTCGACATTGACAGAATATTAACACCAAGTGGACAGAAGTTAAAGTATCTGCAAATGCTTTTCGTTAGCTTGAAAATAGTTTTATCCGAACCATCCAAACCTTCGAACTTCACTATATGGTTGTAGTTTCTTATAGCATATCTTATAGCATCTTTGTCATCTACTATGGTTATTTTTGACTCAATAGGAGATAGAATAGTTTTGCCATAAATACTGTTCAGAATGAGCTTTATATTTTCTTGCAAAGGATTTCCTTCTTTCTTATACTTTAACCTTAACTCAAACAACTTCTTTACTTCATCTCTTATTCTTATATCTCTGTTTCCATCGTAATAGTATCCTTGCAACACTTCACATTTGACACCTTGATATTTTATGAGGTCTTGTAATGTTATATGGTCAACATACATTAAACAGCAAGTATTTGAACTTCTGGGAACGTTAAGTTCTAGATTTAGTTCAGGGTCACAAACTATTAAAGGAAAGTGTCTATGTATGCCAATCTCTTTTATCTTAATGAGAACAAAGAAGCCAGACATAAACTTTTCACCAATGGGTTCCTTTTGGTCGTCATCAAATAAATGTTTCATGAGATACTCTTTGCTTAACATTTCTTTCTTCATAACCTTTGGAATACCTTCTAAAGTATAAAGTCTTGCTATAGCTGATGGATATAATGAAACAGCGTCGAAATCAGCAATGAGTTTCTCTTTACTCTTTTGTTTAATGTTATCTGACAACATACATCTTCCACCTTGAATGCATCTCGAAATAAACTCTCTTGGTTTATTTGAGAGGTCATAAAGATTTCCATTCGGGAAGTACACTCTGTTCTCAAATAATTTGTTAGCAATTGAACAAATACTAACGTAGTCATAAACGTTTAAATCAAATTCTTTCAATATGTCATTGCGGAACTTAACAAAACCTTCTCTTAAAATTCTTACATCTTGTTTGCAATAAAATGTACTATACTTTTCTAAGTCGAAGTGGTTCTCATCTATTCTGCAACCTTTGATGGAATCTATGTTTTTCATGAATGTATCTGCATCCCGGATAAACTTACATGCTTCAGAAATGACACCAGTTCTGTTGTCATTTGCTAACAAAGTACTGCTGTAGTAGTTGTATGGAAATACTTCTTTCGGTCCTGTTTGTAAGTTAAACATAGCAGGAAATAGTTTAGGCTTCTTATTTATAACACTGTAAGAGTCTTTTATAATAATTGCCCGTCCTTTATATAAGCCAGTTATTTGCATTGTTCGTGAACCTTTAATGATGGGAGTTCCTTTCACTTCTGTCATGTGTCTTAAGATGAAGTTTATGTCATAACTGAGGTTATGGAAATATATTAAACTCTTGTCAGGAAGTCGCTCCAAAAATTCTGTTGCACAGTTTTGACCCCATATGCTTTCACTCACTGAACCATCTTCACTGTCATAACATATGTTAAAAGCTTTATGAAAGCCATCGGTACTGCACTCAAAGTCAGCAAAGAAAACGTGCTCAGGAATGAACTTACATTTAGCTTTATTTACTTCTTTTGACTCTACTTTCTCCTTCAGTTGTACACAATACTTTGGAGCATATGACAAGTCTTTAAATGGTGCAAGGTTCTGTTTATATAAGTCAGTAGTATATGTGAAAAGTTCTCCATAAGAAATAGGTTCGAAATATATGCACTCCCACAATGTTTTCATAACATCCCATAGTGGTGTAGTTCTATCCATGCGAACAAATTTACCATCTCTCATTGTATATATTTTCATCTGTTTTTCAATGTTCATTCCACCACACTCCTTCAAGATTTCTATATAGTTGCGAATGAAATATGTTGTCATTGGAAGTCTTTCATTTAGCATGTAGTGGTCTTCAACAAGAAGTAAGTCAATAGTTCGAACAGTTTTACATTCTTTTGGTATGTATCTCTTTATTTCATTATGTCTTGAGTCATTGAAATAACCAATGGTAACATTAAATGCTATACCTGTTGCGTCAGAAATTTCTTGTACTTTACTTTGAGGAAAGTCTCTAACACGAATGACTTCTCTCATGTGGTCAATAGTTTCTTCATTTACTCCAGCCTGAATGCAAGCATAAACGAAACAATTGTCCTCTGTCATAAGTGTTGCAGTTCTTTTGTTCAGTTCATTGAAGATTTGGTAGCGTTCAAGATTTATAGGTAATGTGCAAAGATACTTCCAGAACTGACCGCTTCTCTTCTTATAAAACTTCTTTTCACCATTATCTTTCCAAAAGCTTTCTATAAGTGCTGGGTTTCCTGTTTGCTTAAGAGCTTCCAAAATGGCTTTCTGGTCATTTGTCAGTGTGCTTTCATCTCTATATGGTCGCTTCTGTGGCTTTCCTTTCTTAACATCTGACATCGTTAAGCCTTCATATTCTGTTAAATCATACATCTTTATTTCAGTAAGATTCTTTATGTTTGTCAAGAAGAAGTCATAGTGCATTTCAACAATACCTGCAGCATTTGCTTCTATCTCTGATATAAAGTTCTCCTTCAAGAGCTGATGTAGTAATGTTCCAATATTATTGAGGTTTAACGTAGAACATTCATACTTTCCACCAAGTTTATAACATACCATCCATCTCTGTTGTGAGTTTATTTTAATTTTCTCTAAGAGTCTCATGAAAACCTTACCGAAATGTTTGTGTAAGTAGTCTCTGTTTGGTTCATCTAAAGCTTCGATATTAAAGTCAATGAGTCTATTGCCTGACTTCACATTTCTCTTCCTATTCTCTTCATCTTTCTTTAACCATCTCTCACCTTCTTTTGGTTTGTCGTCAATGGAACGAAGGACATCGTTAGCTTTGCGAACTAATTTTAAGTTAGTATGGTTATCTTGGGTACGGCGGCACTGCGTTCCACCTTACCCAAGATAACGGTTTGACACTTTACAAAACCGCTGACGTATATTTTACAACACAAACGACAACACTAACTTAACCTTAAATATTTACAAAACCGCCACCCACTTCACCTCACTAATGTTTTCACTAACGACTTCACTAATGAAAAAATAAACGTTCTCACTAACGTTCCCACTAATGTTCTCATTTACAAAAGTATTGCAGCGCTTCCCATTGCTGTGCTTCACACAATAGTTCATATTCTTCAGTATCGCTGCTGTCGCTCCAATCGTCAGAGTCAAAGTCACTGTCAAAATAAATGTTAGTAAGTTTTGACAAAGCTAATGAAACACGCTTACCGTTTGTATCTATTGCTTTTATATATCTCCCATTATGTTTGTTGTCATAAACGCTCAAACTAACTTTACCCTTTCTCCCTCGTATCTGATAGAATGTATTTTCACGAGGAACGAAGAACAAATTCTTGAACTCATGACGGTTGTAGTTTGTTATCTCAATAGTTTTCGTCATTTACATAAAAATAAACTTAAAAATAAACTTAAAAATAAATGATATCACTACCTTCACACGTATGAAAACATAGCACAAAAATAAATTTAGGTGAAGTGGTGAGATCTCACCTCTTTTTTCACCTCTTTTTTCACCCACTTGAATTCATTGCTTTATAACTCTCTTCCTTTCTCCAACTCTTCTAACTTCTTCCTAAGTTTAGCAATGTTGTCCTCATGAAGTTTAATCTTTCTCAAAATTCCTTCTTTATCTAATGGTTGCTTTATCTTTCTAAACTGAACTCTACCATCCTTCATAGTATGAATGTAAAAACCTTCTGGAATAGTTCCTGATTTAATGTATTCTACCAAAAACTTTTGTTTCATTGCTTCAGTGACTTTAGTCGTCATTTCAATCAAATAAAAATTTTAATATTAAATAAAAATAACGTTATTTTTTCAGTAAGGAAACGCAGGAGTTTTACGATTTATTTGAGGAGTAGGTTCTAGTTTAAATGTTGGAGTCGGTTTAGGAGTTGACTTTTGAACAGGAGTTTGTACTTCCATAGGTTCAGGAGTCATTGAAGGTTTTGCTTGTGAAGGTGTTGGAGTTTGTTTAACTTCAGCTACTTCAGTATTATTTACAACATTTGCTTTATTTCTTTTCAACATCATAACTGCTCCTGCTGTAGCTATCAAACCTAGTGGGAGACCATATCTTATATAAGGACTTGACCAAATGCTATTTTTGACAGGAGCTGGTGGAACACCTAACCTTGGTGAGACTGCTCTTTGCCATTGTGCAGCTCGTAAGAAATATTCAATAGGTGCTCCATAATCGTTTGGTAAAGTTTGTTTCATAGATGGTGAAGGTTCACGAGAGCTTGATGAAGAACTCATTTATAAGCTTTAAAAATAAACGTTCATCCTTTATTCCTCACTGTCGTCCGCGGCTAAGTTATAGTCATCTAATCTTATTATTGGGATGCCATTAGCACGCACCTGAATGGCAAAGCAACAATCCCTCATAAATCCAATAAGTGGCTTTGGTACATTTTCAGTTGCTAGTTCAATAGGTCCTTTAACAGACAATTTGTATGTTATTGGAGCTGTTGAAGTTTGACCTTGCTGGAAGCAAAAGTCCACTTCTGTTGGAAAACCACATAAGAAATGTGTGTTGTCATAGCTATCCCATTTATGTTCCACACTACCATCATCCACCAATGACCTCATAACATCTTCATTAAATCCTATCATATCATTGTTTGTATTGCAAGCGTTCGCAACCATTTCATAAAATACAGGTCCATATGATTTTTCAGGTTCTGCAGGCATATTTCCATAAGCTCCCATGGAAAGCTGAAGATATTTAAACTTAGGGTTCTCAAAATTAACATAATAGTTGTCTTTCTTTCTAAATAGTGCCCAAATACTTTTAACATTAATAGGCGTATAAGCTGCTGTAAATGTTGCACTTGAACTATCTGTATTCTTTGAGAATGAACCGTCCATAGGAATCCAATCCATAACTTTAACAGGAAAACATAAAGCCTCGTTTGTATAATGTTCTACAAGTTCTGTATAAATGTTAGGGTCTAAAGAGAATGACTTTGGATGAATAAAACATTCATTAAAATCCATCTTTGTTCGAAATAGTTGCTTGGTTACAGTTGTAATAGTAACTGTTCCACTAGCTTCTACTGCCTTCGTTATCATAGTGAATGGTTCATTCCATGGAACAAATTTATTTGTCGGTGGATTTGAATCTGAAGCAAATGCAACTTTAAGAGTTGGATTGAAAGCAATGATATCATTTACAGATATAGATGTGCATTGTAAGGCGTCGCTACTGAACTTTACTTTAAGCTGAATGTTTCCTGCAAAAGCTGGAATAAATCGAATAGCTTCTAATGGAAGGAATCTTCTAACAGGAATTCTTAAACGAAGCTTAAAATCAAATGATTTTCCTGCTGTAATTGGACCACTAACAATTTGTCCTGTTCTGTATGTTCCCGAATGACTCCATACATCTTCATGTCGAGTCTTTGAGAAAACATCTACTTTCTTTATTTGTTCGGCAGTTTGTGAGTTTGAAGTTATATATGCTTCTTCTCTTGCGTTGTCTTGAGAATATACGATACGACCATTTGCAAGGATTTGATATCCAGCAACTGCATAGAAAGCGTCATCGAAACCAATCCAAAATCCTGGTGGGTTTGTTTTATCGGAACCTGAACCAATTTCTTTATCTACAATAAATTGACCTTCCATTTTATATGTAATGAATGTATTGTAAAGGTCCAACATATTTTCACCAGGAGGTGAGAGATTGAATGTTACCCATGTGTTATCTTTAGCAGTTCCAGGTTGTGATGGAATCTTTGCGTCAGAATATTTTCTATTAGTGTCACCAATTTGAACTGCATTGTCTATGATATCGAAATATGAGCGAATCTGATGAATATGCTCTGCTGGAGTAAATTCGTTTAACTGTTCGTTCTGCATGTCTTTGATTCGGATAAAAATATCTCTTTACTTCATTATTCTCACTCTTCTTCTTGGCATTCGTGGTGGAAGTTGTTTCTTGACATTTTCAATGAACTGTACATTTTCTTTTGTCTCAACTTCTTTCACTGGTGGGTCAGGGTTCTTTGACTCGGTTTGTTTTTCAATGAAATTCACGAACTTTGCAATAAGCTCTTGGTTCGTTATTGAAAGTACATCTGGCTTCTTTTCTTCTTGTTCTTTTGGTGGCTCAGTTTGAACAGAATGTTTTATATGGGCTTCGTGGGCTTCGCCCTCGGTGCCATGCACCTTAATGTTGTCGCTCTCTGTATTCGCTAATGGAACCTTTCTTTTCCTAACATATATTTTACCATCTTTACTCTGACTTACATAATAGAAAGGATGTTGTATTCCTCTTGCGT